AGGATTGATCTGGAGTTTCAGGTGGTCTGCAGGTCTCAATACGGTTTAGGGTTTAGTAGGGCTTCGGCGTATTGCTTAGGAGTTTTTGTTGATGTAGGGCTTTCTTTCAGTCACGCCCTCTTTCACAGTCTCCACACTCGGTGCAAGAATCCTTGACTGGTGGGTCTCCCCACTGGTCACCCTGCCAACAGGACTGTACAGCCAAGCATGAGTGAGTGACCCGTGCCGTAAGTGCCCAGGGTGCGTGCTTTCCGCCGGATTCTTGGTCGACAGGATTTGTACAGGTAGGTGCCTAGGGTGCCGTACTCTTGCCGTCGATCGGTCCCCTACAGTCAGCCGGGCCCGAATCCGTAGGTGTTTCGGGCACGTGCTGTGCTCTTACAATTTTGTTGCTCCGTGGTTGTTAGTCGGCATGAAGCCTTCGGCATGAAGCCTTCGGCATGAAGCCTGATCGATTTCCTATACTACTCGAATTTTGGCAGTCACACGAAAGACCAACATGCTATGTGCTGGAAAAGGAGCAGGATATCATTCGCACCTACCTGTGTTCTCAACGCCAGAGCTACCGTTGCTAGAATTGCCACATCAAGAAAGTCTAGCCCTGTTTGGAGGCACTTTGCGCGTCGCTGACGTCCCGATGCAGGCCCAATCTTGAACCCCAATTGCCGAACCAAACAAGTGAACGGTGGATGTTGGAGTCAGCTGACAGGAACAGGAAGCCGCAACCATGTGCCATGATCTTCGCTGTGCATGCCAGGTTTAGTTCAGAACGCGGGCCGGGCATTCTGATCTGATTGGAGCGTGCTCACCGACATGAGGTGATGGAAAGCAGATACCAGAAGACACCCATACATCCCATAAAATGCATTGTCGGGGTTGGGGAATCTATGCCTGAAGCTTGCACGAGCTTCGGTGCATGTTTTGCAGTGAACCATTGCCAAATGACCATGTTTCAATGTTGCGTTGTTGAGGGCCTTTTCACGTGGAAGCCACGCCCATTTCTAATACTTGGGGCTGCTCGTGTACAGCGGACCGTATGCGAAACCAAAAATTGCTTGCTTTGTTGCTCTGCCTGCGACGCATCATCGTAGAAGTTTGATGTGAGTATTATCTGAGTATTCGAACTGGGCGAACCCGAAACCCCTCAACTTTCCGGATGGGGTGTGACCATCACATGTTCGCGTGTTCATGTTTTGTTTGAGACGGTGACCTCGTGAGTAGCAATGACCTGTGAAAACATGGAAAGCGCAACCTTCTTATTGCAGAACCATGAGTTCAGCTGGCAAGAAGATGGACATCGACTTCGTCCCATCTGGGCCCGTACTGCAGATTGCCCCCCCTATCCTAACCGATCTGAATTTCTTTACTTTGCCTTGCCACTTGCACCTTTGGCCCGTGGCCAAGGTCGACGAAGCCTCATCCCATGAACAAGGCACGTCACGGACAACATGTTGACTGTTGCGGTGGCCGCAGAACAAAGCAAGGGGCCTTTTCTCCAGAGCGAGCTCGCGGCGCAAGTTCTTGCAGCGACTACTTTAGTAAGCCAGAGAGGGAGGAAGAAAGAAAAAGAGAGAGAGAGAGAGAGAGCACTGAGGTACTGGGCGCGCCTGTGCGCACGGGGGCTTCAGAGAGAGAGAGAGAGAAAGATGGTTATGTTCAACCATCACTGCCGGACCCAACGCGCTCGGGCGCGCGATCGAGCGTCGCGGTGGTTTCAACCCTAGCCCACTGAGAGGAAGAAGAAGACGTAGCAATTGTTTCTATGGGTTGTGAGGGCACTGCAATCTTGTACCACTGGAGTACCACATGCGGCTCGGTTAAGATTTGAAAGATTGAGAAGAGGGCCTTCTTGGGGGCACCCATGCACCACCCTCAGTCAAAGATGTCCAGACACTTGGAGCCAAACTCGGGGGGCAGATTCGGCGCTGCCCCATAGGACTGCATGTTCTTCCCCAAAGGAGCGGTTTTCGAGGCCGACGGAGGTTTGAAACGTGTGAGGCTCTATCTAGAAGGTGCATAGACCAGCAGCAGCCGTTGAAGGCCTCAAGCAGCCCCGAATCAAAAACACTTCTTACACCTCCAGCCCAGCTGATGATCACTCTTTTCAGTTCTTGGCTTTGAGGTTTGCAGCTTCTCCTGTCAATAATGTCGGCTGGGTGTCCATGTGAAGGGCTGGCTTTTCCGCTTCCAGGAAGATCGGCTGTCCCCCGCTCTTGGTTGGCCTGGTGTAGCTCGTCCTCCCCTCTTTGTTGTCGCAGAGAGGTGTGCGTGTGTCGAGAAGAGGTGGCGTTCTCTCCTGTGTGTGGTGGGGCAGTGTTTGGGTCCGGTCTTTTCGGCCGCTTTGCGGCTATTGCTGTGGCAACCCCCGTGGGAGCGTATATTTGTTCCCTTCCCATCCGCCTGGCTTTCTGGAGTGACTCTTACTCTGCTTTCCACTTGAACCAGTGCGAACGGAGAGAAAAGCTGTGTTCGTCAGGGTTGCACTGCCCAAAGATTTCAACTTCGATGCATGACACCCAGAAACTACGAGGCCCTAGTTGCAACCCAGCGCCACGACGCGTAAATCTTGGTTTCGAACGTGCAGGGCCGACGTCGCCGGCTGCGCGTAGCTGACTTGGCCTCAGGAACACCAGGATGCCGGTCTAATGGAGTTGGGATGATTCTGGTCTCAATACCGAGTTCAAAAGGGTGATTGTGTTCTGGCGTTTGAGTATCTTGAGTTGTTCGGGCCTTGGGAGCTACTCAAAATATTGTGAGTGTAGAGTTTCGTTTTTTCCCGTGAGGCCACCATGAATTATAAAGCAGGGTCATGTCGCGGTATACGTGGGTTACAGATAGGATAATTGTAAACGCTTGCGCGCGCCGCCTCGGCAGCCGGGCCGGTCCCAGGACAGGAAAGGAGGAAAGAGGGAGGAAGGGCAGACCCCTGTAGGAGCCACCGACAAGCGGGACCCTCCACAGCATGGGTTTGCAGCTCCTCCAAGGGATTGGCAGTCATTATCCACTGGTTCTGTTCCGTACTTGTGATCACGTGTTGTGTCCCGCGCGGGAAACAGTCGGATGCTGTGCTTGAAAACTCCCAACCATGCTGAAAGAGAGCAGGCCAACACATGCGCCCAGCTGTGCACCGCGGATCCCTGATTGTTCGTGACATGCTACTCGTAGCTGCTCAGCCGGGGCAAGAACCTTTTGCAGCTAAGGTCCATCACTTCATGGAACTACTGGCGCGCCGATGAGGCCAGGTATTGCAGGCCCTACAAACCTTAAACTCCAGCAGTAGCTGTTCCGAGCTTGACTGGCGGCCGTATCCCTGCTGTATTTGCTACGTACAGTTCCTCGAAGGCCAGAAAGTGAGCGTACAAGCCTCGGCATCACAACCGAAGGCGTCAAACCCTGGACACTACATCAGAGCACCAGCCGAATTGGAGAGGTTCAAAATTAGTTTCCTGTGTGAGGGTCATTGTGGAATCTGTTCAGTATCCAACTCTTGTGAAAAGTGCCGACAAGAAAACCTCAACCTTAATAAGAGCCGTCATTTGTGATGTTCAAGTGGGCTTTGATTGCAAAAGCGCAGCGCGCAACGTCGTGTGACCGACCTATACATGTGGAAATTCCAAAGAGAGGAGCCCCCAAACCATGGGGAACTTCTGACGTGTTCGGTCGGTCCATCACGTAGAAAGGTTCGAAAGATTGTTCTCCATAGCTGGCCCCCATGAATTCATAGTCAACTCAACAGGTTGGGGTCGGCGCCTGGGGCGGCCAGGGGTCGGGAGTCGGCAAGATTGGCCATAAATTCTGTCCACTTCAGAGTTATTATTAGTACCCCAAGTTATGGCTAGCTCCGGCCATAAGTCGAACTTTCCTGCTTAAAGGCTCATGATCTTCCACGAGGGCTTGCCTTGAACAAACCCAGAACCAGCCAGAACCTAGTTTAATGGTTGCCACAGGGGAGTGCAGGGCTTTTGGAGTGTTGGGTTGGTGGGTATATACTTGGCATCTCAAACCACACCGTACCGTCAGGTTGAGTGTGCGGCAAATGACGCAGAATCTCAAGTAGACACCAATGCCCGAATGTACAGTGCCATGAGTTGCAATGGCCTCTCGGCTCACCTTTGTGGAATGGAGTTGCTGCTGTGACGTCAACTATAAATTGATACCGCAAAGCTGCTATTGAAATCTGCAATCAAGTATATCGAGCCTTTCTGCAATGCGCTGCTTTCTTCATGGCCACGGCCTTGTCTAGGCATCAGACGATGGCAAGAACTGAAACTCCAGAATGTAACTCCGCCGTGGGCTTCAAATTCAGGCTCCTGAGTCGCCCCTTTCTTTCCCTTACCGGCTGAAGCTTGGCCCGAGGCTCTTCTGCTTTGGGCTGCTGATTCTAGGCATGCGAGATCCTTTTGTAGCTTTGCAAGCTTAAGAAGGCCCGCGTGTTCCAAGGAGCTTCTGGAATGAAGGGTCAGGGGACGGTTGTGATTATAGCCCCGTCTGAAAAAGGCCGGCAAATTAATGTTGACAAGGCACGCCCGTGTTAGGGTGACATGCCTTCTGCGCAGTGCGACGTTCTCACATGATGGGCTGTTCTGAGTTGCTGCGATCCTTCTCCAGCGAGACTCAAGCATGAACCTCGAGTCGTACTCCGACTCCGGAACAGCTCGTAGAAGAGCTCAGTGCTTCGCACAGTGCAAAACGCGTCCTACCTCTTTCCGGTCGGATTGGGTCTTGGGTTGAGGGCTGCAAACTTCATAGATGAGCCAGAGCTGCTTTGACCCGTGGGCCCAGCCCACCTACGGCCCTGCCCGTCAAAACGCCTAAACAGAAACCCTCAGAAAGGTGCGATAAGCATTTCGTGCTTCGGGAAGGGGGCTCCAGGTCTGGCCGATGCAGTAAACCTTATTCCGCGAAGTGGGCTCTGTAGCTTGAAGCCATGTCTGACACCCCCAAAAGATGGGAGCCTCCGGATCGCGCCTTCACACCCTTGCGCCATGCGAAGTCGACTCATGGCACCCCAGCCGCACGACGAAACTTGCAAGACGAGGCCTCTGCCAGGGATTCTGGGGCGCACGGGTTTTTGGGGCCTCACCATGGGCCATGGGGTAACCTTGGGGGTCAAGGTTTAAGGGGGGGTTGCTGGGAGAAACGCCTGCTAGGAATTCGAGCTTGATGGCTCTGCCCACCTTTCCCAAACCCCTGAAACCTCCCTCAAAAGAACACTGCGCGCAGCGCTCACCTCTCACATCACTGAGACGGGCAGTTTTGCTGCTTGGGCTTTGGAACGCTATGCCGGATTGCTTCACAGGAAGTTCGACCGTCGAGGTTGGCACTCAGGCCGGGGCCGGGTCTTGAGTGTGATCGATGTAAGTCCATCCTAAATCCTTACACGTGCCACTCCTTCACCTTGGGCTGAAACCTCTGAAGATGGCAGCGGTTCTCTACAGTCTACTAGTCACTGTGCCCACTAGAGTCACTAGACACTTCCATGTTTTGGGAGACCCAGTGTACAGGCATCGAAGAGGAGCTTCTCCGCCTGCAGGATTCACAGACCTCTGAAGAAGCATGCTTTGGCTGCTGTAGCCTGGGTATTTGTGCTCTTCTGGACTGCGGTTGCCGGACAGTGACTCTATCAGTGTGTGCCTATCTGTTTGGGCCCACCGGCTGTCAAGGCTAGCCTTCATTCAGGGGTGGAGGTCCCTGAGGCCAACTAAACTCAACACCTGCATCTTCGGATGTTGCTCTTCTGTAGCATAGGATGTGGGCTCGAGACTGGTAGAATCCATGTCAACGTAGTCTTGGCCACAACCCAATTAAACAATCCAAGCCCATCTAGTCGCTCTAGTCAGACAGTGTGGCACTGTCCAGCTGGATGTAGCACGAAACCCTGATCGGACTTCCACATGCAACTGCCTAAACCCGAAACCTTCTTCACTTAACCCTATGCGGGTGTCTGAGGGTCAACCTGTTGACCATGGTCGCCTAAAAAACACAAGAAACAAGGGATTGTCAATGGAACCCAGGGCAACACGTCTGCCTTGAAGGACCCGCCCTCAGCCGAAGATGTAGAACTTCTACTGGCGCGCGAGTTCCAGGTCGGAGGGTCAGCCATGTCTAACCACCCAAGACCCACAGCTGAGCAATGGGCTCCATAAACACCGTGGTCACACCAGAGCAAATCTAACAGGCAATGCTTGCAACAGTCTGCCAGGGATCTTCTGATCCTTTCAGCATCAGGGGATGCAACTTGGTATTGCGGAGCACAGAATGAAAAGTGCCCAAGCAGGACTGGCAGCGCCGGCCACGCCTTGCGACAGCGGCCTTGACACGCTTTTCCAAGGCCCACCAGGGTTTAGGGTTGAGGGTTTAGGGTTCAGGGTTTAACGGGTTTAGGGTTTAGGGTTCAGAAGGATTCCTTGAGTCATGGGGGTTTAGGTTTTGGGGTCTACGTCAGGTGGTTTTGGAGTTGGAAGCATCTCTTGATGGATTGAGGAGATTAGCTGGAAGGTCGAAGGCGAGGGCACTCGCCAGTTGCGACTATCTTATGAAAATACGACTACTGCAACGCGGAGTTTAGAGTTGCGCGTGCAGAGTGGTAAAACGTGGAAGCGCTGAGGGAACCCCTGTAAACTTCGTAAACCCTCTGATGCCCCGAATCGTTCACCTCTCCATGCTTCAAGCTCCGTGGCCTTGTCGGGGCAGACGAGGCCGGTCGTGGTCGTCTGGCCTGGCAGGAGAGCTCCTGAGGGGATTGTGGGAAGGGATTGGAAGGGATGCTTTTGGGGTGTTCAGGTTTGGCAGGGTTTGGGGCCCTGAGTTTGCTGACAAGCTTTGGGAAACGTTGTCGCCCGACTTCACCATCAAGGCAGCCACACAGCGATATGATGCGATGCATTCACACCCCTGCGCTTGAGCCCCAAAATCCTGAATGCCAGAGGGTAACAGAGCACACCTGGCATACCTTTTTTTCAAATAGAGCTGCAGAATGAGGCTGTCGGAGCAAAGTTGGGGCTTAGCACCACACTTAGGTGATCTCTGGGCCTCCCAAGTTCCATCCTTGCCTCAGGTTCTTCTCGCGATGCTGGCGCGCGGGGTGGCCCCTCGAAGTTGACATATGACAAGCAGGCTTGAACAGAAGTTTATGATCATGAGTGAGGGAACGTTGCTGATACGCTCGTTGATTTGTTGTTTATCTTTTTTGTCCTCTCTCACTCTCTCTCTATCCCTCTCCCTCCCTCTGACTTTCGCAAGTCAAGACTCTGCCAGCCGGGTTGCGGGTACTCACACTAGCATCATGAGCCTTTGGTCCCGTGTTTTTGCTGCCTTGTTCTTGCCAAGAACGGCAGTCTCTGCACATCCTCTTTACGTTCGCACACCGCGCAGAACTCCTTCAAGGGATTCTGCAGCATGTGGGCACCAAAAAGCTACCAGCCCTCACACGTCGCCCAGGAGACAAATGTATACCACTACGGAGCTGCGATTCGCCTCGCGCTTGGTTGTTTTTCCATGCAGGGATTAATGTCGGCCGCAGGTCTGTTCCGGGTTGCGGCTTTTGTCAGGAGGGCGCTTGGAACAAGACAGGTTGGCCAGCTTTCCAGCATCCCGAAAAAGGCATCTCCCCCCCCCCCCCCCCCCTGCATCCAGCCCCCCCCCCCCCCCAAGGCAATCAGTAAATCCTAAACCTCCTGGCCAAGCTCAATAGGTGCCAACCTAGTCCTTCGGTTGTCTTGACCAGCCTGAGCTGCCCGATAGGCGCTTGTGAGACATCTGGCGACTGGATGCTTCCAAGCAGCCTTCAGTCATGTTTTGGTTATAGATCTGATGGAGTCTTGTCGGAGCTGCGTGTTTTTGTTGTTTTGTTCGGTTCGGGTTTTCCGGCCAATTTTAACCCCTCCTGAGCGCGCATCGTGATCCTGTAGCTAAGGCTTGCCACTCATCTGCTTGAAGTCGCTTGGCTCTGTGGGGCGTATGTGGCCTTGGGATGGTTGTTTAGTTGTCTGCAAAACGTCCAGCAAGACGCTCAACGGCCTCGGCAACAGTCAAGGTCATGGCAGCGGAGGGCGTGACAGCCAACGTCTTCACTTGCAGCCACTTCCCTGCTCAGCTTGTTCCATGTCATAGCGCGTCACGGTACAAATCGACGGGGAAGTCTGAGGACTGGCACGGCTCACTTATCTGAAGAAGAGTTGCTGATCGTGTCCGTGCTGAGCTTCATCTCTGTGTTGCCCGTTCAGGTTCCGCGATGGGTGCCTGCGGCAGTTTCTTGGATTTGCCGGAGTCAGGGTCCCCATCGGCACTTCCCTAACACTGTTGCCCTTCTACCACCTTTTAGGGGTGAGCAATGCATGTGCTTGAGTGCCCTCAGTTGCCTTCCTTGAAGGCCAAAGGCAGGGCCCCTCCGCCCAGTTTGCAAGACTCTTCACTTGAGAGCCAGGTTTCACGTAGGATTGGCTGCCAACACTTGAGCTGCAGCTCCTTTGTTCAACCCAACAGACCTCAGGCCAGTGGCAAATAGCTCTTGTGCTGCTGAACGACATGATCTCGTCTCAGGAGTTGTGGGGACGGGGAGTGAGGACTTGAGTCAAGGTCTTGGGAGGTTCTGCATGGGGCCGAGAGACTTGCGAGTGCCGTGCAGCCCAGGGATGTCTTGGGTTGTCGGATTTTTCGGGTGGCTTCCCCCAGGTCCTGCCGAACGTGGTGACCTGCAACCGTGCCGACTGCCTGAATCATCGGAGAAAGTCTTCACAGTTGGCTGATGTTTAGGATAGCAAAAGCGAAGCTCTCCAGTAGGGCCTCGAAGCTGTGGTCTATAGTCTTTTGGTGGGATTTTGCTGTTTGAGTGTTGGGCCTCCGCAGGAGCTTGTCATGACAATCCTATTGTGTCTGTTCAAGGGATTTGCTGATATCGGCAAATATGGAAAAGCCCTACCTCGACGGTCTGGGGAGAGGCGTCGGGGACATAGTTTCAGTGGTGGACATGAGTAGAGACTTGCCCGCCGCGGGCGAGGGTGAGGTGCGAACCGCTGAATAGCGAAGCACCCAAACCCACAATGCTCGACTCCAGATCTGCTTCAGGCAATCGCCACGTGTGCAAAAGGTGGCGCCTGGACTACATCACTGGAGCTCTTGAGGAGGATGGAGGAGGCGCAGAGTGGGCTGTACGTTGGGTCGTGGGAAGTTTCGAGACACGTTGGGTGACATGGTCTAAGACTTGGCGCATGGGATGGCTCAGTGGCCCTGGTGTTCCGATAGTTCTTCTTTTGCAGCCCTGTGCAAGTCAAGCCTTCGTCAGAGTGGAGCGAGAGTTGGGAAGTCGCAGGTTTTTAGCCCCAGCATGTTCTGTGATGTGGTGCTATGTCCTGTCCCTCCACTGGAGCCCGGGGCACGCTGAAGCGACAGCGTGCCCCTGTGTTTAATACCTTAAGCCCTAAACGAGCGCAAGCCTTGGACCGCAGCCTTTTTTTGCCCAGCTGTCAGCGCTCTTCAACCCTGCAGCTCCAGCGTCTGCCATGGCGCCGACGTTGCTGAACCAACTCCCGGCAACCCGGCCTGTGAAATCGCCCTCCCCTGAACCCTCCCTCCCTTGCGCTCGAGCTTTTTTTTTGTTGCTGCTCCGGGGTTCAACGGGATGGTGGGGTTCAACAAGCGAAAGCTGTGGAACGCTGGGTTTTGGAACCTGTCGAAAGGTCGTTTTCAAGGCCCTGGGCAGCATGATGCACATGGGCTTGAAGGCTTAACAGCAATAGTGAGTAACAATGGCAAACATAGCAATAATAACAGAAATGCCTCTATGGCAAGAACTGCAACAATACACGTAGTCGCATTTTGACGTCAGGTGTGGATCGCAGCCACGCTGGCAACATGGTTGGTGTGCTGGTTGGTGGTCAATCCGGTGAGCTGCCACGAGGTCCGCCAATGGTCTCCTTCTTCAGACACCTCAGTGTTTAGGGTTTAGGGTTTAGGGTTTAGGGCTTTGGGTACTCCCCAGAGTCCATCGAAAAACCCATGAGAACCCTATGCCGTGCCGAACAGAGCCTCGCAAAGTTCTGGCATCAAACCTTCACCCAAAGGGTGTCTAATGAAGTTCAATTCTGCCCATAGAAGCTAGAAATATGGTGCGGCACTGCACAAAAAACACAATTACCAATTCCAATTTAAAAATGGGCCCCTTTTTGGTTCGAGGTTTTTGGGGCCCTCCCGCCAGGTGGCCACCTGCACCAGGCACTTGAAGACCTACCCAGGATCCTGGCATGTGATCTCCTGCGCGATGCTCCTCACCATGGCTTCTTGGGGGTGAATTTATGTGGGGTTTAGGGTTTAGGGTTTAGGTTTAGGGTTTAGGGTTTAGGGTTTAGGGTTTAGGGGGGGTCGGGTTTGCATTTAGTATCTCCGGGACCCCAAGCAGCGCCCTAAACCACGCTCTCCGAACCCTTTGCTGCTTGATGGGCAGTGGGCGGACGATGTGCAGTGGATAATCTTTCCGCAACGCAAGAACTTCAGTTCAGGTGATGTATGAGGTGATGAGCCTCATCGCGACGTACATGGGGGCGAAGCACACCCAGGACTACTATTTTGACCGCCTGAACCCTTGACTCTCTTAGGGTTTAGGGTTTGGGGCTACACCTCAAACCCTTACAGAAGCCCTTTTCTGCCGAAAGGTGTGTGCCCTAACGCCCGTACAGCAGGCCCACGCCTCCAGACCCCAGAGATGCCTGCAGCCCTCTCTAGGGCGAGATATGTCAAGGGGAGGGCTTCAGCAATGCGAAGGCTCTGATCCCGCACCTGAAAAGCAAATCCCTGCCCACGTTCTTGCTGGCCCTCATGCTCCTTGGCTGCGGGGTCAGAATCCGATTCGAGGACCGAAGAAGGGTTTTGACAAGAAGGGTTCAGGCATCATCTGGCTTTCTCGCAGCAGGCACAGTGACATACCTTGAAAGACTTTTTTTGAGGTAGTCTCCCTCTCCCTCTCCCTCTCCCTCTCCCTCCCTCTCCCTCTCCCTCTCCCTCTCCCTCTCCTTCTCCCTCTCCCTCTCCCTCTCTCTCTCTCTCTCTCTGTCCCTCTCTCTCTCTCTCTCTCTCTGTCTCTCCCTCTCCCACACCCACCCACGCACGCACGCACGCACGCACGCACAAACGCACGCACGCACAAACGTACGCACGCATGCACGCACGCGTACACGCACACATGCATCCACCCAGCGCGCCCGCACACGCGTACGTAGACAAAGATATATCTCTGTCTCTTATTCAGCATCGTTTTCTTTCATGAGTCGTTGATTTTTGCATGTAGTCGAGTCCCTTGTGAAAAAAGTCATGTCTTGTAATGATGTCAAGGTTCCGAAATTTTGCAATAAGTCCAGTCCTCTCATGCTCCCTTACGAGTCCACACCATAGTCCCCCTCATTTTTGGGTTGCCCAGAAGGGGGGGGGTGGTGGTGGGCGGCCTTGTCACAAATTTCAAAAGATAACTATACATACCCGTTAACCCCTAAACCCTAACCGCCCAAACCCTATACTTAAACCCAACCCCCCCCCCCCCAAAAAAAAAAGTATCAGATCAAACAAAGTTACAGGAATATAAAGAAACAAATAAATCTATGCATATATTTATGTAGATTTATTTATGTATATATGAATGAAGCAATAGCCAACATCTTCACCAGATGAAGGTTCGGTGTTCTGGCCTGTGCGGAGCGGATGTTCTCCCGTGCCGACTGGACGGTGGCGCACGTGATGCCCAGCGCCGATGGGCTTACTCCACTGGGCCGGCCCGTCTACACCCTGCAGCAGCTGGCATCGTTTTGAGAAGCCCTAATGTATTAAACCCAGAAAAAAACCCTAAGCCCTAAGCCTAGACCCTAAACCCTCTGGATGCAAGGGGAGAGAGAGAGAGAGAGAGAGAGAGAGAGAGAGTTAGGAGATAGGGGGCCTTTGGGGGAGGGGAAGTGAGAACTAGTGTGTCCGGGGAGCCCCAGAGTCTATCGGGAAGTGTCACACGGGACTGTGGGATCCGGGCGCGCTTCGCGCGCGAGGGGGTGCTTGCGGCCCTCATGCCCAGCAGAAGAAGAAGAGAGAGAACTGAAACCAGGAGGTGGAGGGCTTTCTTGGGGGGTGTGTTGGGAGTTCTCCGAGAAGGTTGTAGTTGTCCGGTGCTTGGGGGAAAACACACCTCCCACGACGGTATGCCCAGGATCACAGCGGGGGACATTCCACATGTGAAGCAACCCCAGCCTGAGGCATGTGTTCTCACCAACTGACCCACTGGAGCACGCCCATCAGGGCGACCCCTTCGGGGGTTAAGTGCAGCGGAAGGAAGGAAGGAAGAGAGAGAGAGAGAGAGAGTTTTTGAGAGGCCCGAGTGTGTCACCCGAAAGGAAGAGCGAGAACGTGGAACCCGGGGGGGAGGAGAAAGAAAGAGAGAGAGAGAGAGAGAGGGTTTCTCTGGGAACCCTTGTCAGGGGGTCCTTGAAACGCAACTGGATGAACCACATGAAGACGAAGATGACGACGGCGAAGACTCCCCGGGGAAACCAAATGAGTGAGGGGGACCCGCTTAGTGCCTCGTTTTTGTCCCTTGAAGAGTGGCAACCGAACACTCAGAACCACCACTGGGGGCCGTCAAGGCACGGTGCCCTAAACCTTCACCTCGGACAGAGCAACGGGCCAGCGTGGCCGGGGTCCTCTTAGGGGGGCCTCTTCGCTGGGCAGAAGAAGAGAGAAACCCTGAACCCAAGCAAGCCTCTGCCTTGCTGGAGATTTTGGTCGGAAGCAAGTTGCGCAAAGAGAGAGCTGGAGAGGGAGCAAGAGAGCGTGGTCGGACCCCAAGCGCATCCGAGGTACGTGGAGTGGGGAATCAACGTCCCTTAGACCTTTTACAGATTTTTTTGTGTGGCCAGCCACTTCGTCCCCAAGAATCCTGAACCTCAGCAAGTTGGAAGCCCATGGAACAACGTCTACGGCCAGACTGGGTATGTAGGCGCACAGCGAAGAGAAAGCGTAGGCGACAGGGTTCAGTTCTGTTGCCCAGGTTCCTATCCTCATGGTTCTTTCAGGCTACTGCAGCATGGGTCGCCCCATGCAGGATTGGCTTTGCGATGCGCCTGTCGGTTTGGTGTTCAGGTAAGCTGTTTGTAGTTCTCAAGATTGTTGAAACCAATGAGTCCGGCTCCTTTCGCATCATGTTGATTTGTGGCGTCGCTTCCGCGCTGCAGACACTCAAACACTCACTCGCATCCGGAAAGGCTCTTCTTGACACGTGCTCCTGAACAGATCGTCTCAGGGTCTGAGTGGCTGAGTGTCACATCGCCTTCTGCGTCGCTTCTGAGCGGCAGACACTCACACGCTTTTGCGCACCCAAGAAAGAGTCTTCCTCGTACGTCTGGGTGTAGTTTCAGATTCTCCGTTCACTCTCGTTTTTGCCAGTTGATGAACGGCTTCTTCTGCTCTCAGTGCCAGCATTCGGCTTTTGAGTGCTCCCATGGGGCCTCAATGAGTCGGCCCCAGGCCCCAGACGCCCTCCACGTTGTGCGGTTGTGTGTCTAGGAGCGTGTGAGTGTCTGGCTGAGTGCTGCTCTGTTTACTGGTGGTTTGTGGTGCAACCATGACTTGCAATCCATACAGCACCAGAAAACCCCAATCACCAAGTTTCTGTTGGAGGAGATCTCACGGCCCCTCGTGGTCACCAACATCTATGTGCTCCTAGGCTTGTGGAGTATGTGCAAAGGACGCTCCGCACATCTGATGGTACCCCCGAGCCAATCTCCAGCTGAACTGGTGTGTCTTCTGGGAGTGTATCAAGAGACATATATATATGTATATATATATATATATATATACATAGACATGAGCAGAACAATCATCCCGGCACAAACAAAGCGCGCCCACTTGGTTGCACGTCCGGTCTCAGATCAGTGCCCTCAGCGCTGAAGCCCAGGATTTTCTGCTGGGCGGCCACTGCCACAGACAGCGCTGTCTTGAAGTGACCTGGCTCAGAACCACTCGTTTTTCGGGGTCTTCTGAGAGTTGGATGACATTCTGCCCTTACGCAAAGCACTTAAGGCTGAACTGTTTGGGACGCGGAGGGGTTCAATAGCCGGGTTTTGGGGCTCTTCTTTGGCCATCCTAAGGTGGTTCTTGATTGCCGT